GCCATGCACTCGAGCTGCTCGAAACGCTCTTCGAGGCTGTACCTGCCGACGCGCTCGAGCAGTACCGTCGTGCAGTGCTGACGCTGCTGCTGACGCGGCTGCAGCAGAGTCGAACCGACCGTCTGGTCAAGGGCACGATCCATCTCGTGGCAGCGGTGGCGCTGACGTCCAAGGGGCCCGAGTACATTGTCGACACGTTTGAAGCGGTGCAGCCGGGTCTGTTTGGTCAGATTGCCCAGGGCATTCTTGCCCCCGAGCTGGCCAATGTTGGTGAGAGGCACCGCCGCGTGGTGGGGGTGGGATTCGGGCTGTTGCTGACGAGCGCCAAGCTGCGCGAGCCGGCCCATGCGCCTGTGCTGCCCGTGCTGCTGTCGGCGCAGATCAAGCTGCTGCTTACGCCCAGTTCGGCTGCGGCGCAGGAGGACGAGCTGTGGGCCAACGACGACGACAGTACCGCCGCCGCCACGTTCCAGGCTGCCTTTTCGCGGCTCGCGGCGTCCGAGACGCAGCGTGTAGACCCCACGGCGACGGTGCTCAAGGATGCACCCGTGCACGTGTGGTTTGCGGGCAGGTTGCAGCAGATGCAGTCCGAGCTGGGCGCCCAGTGGGAGGGCGTGTGGAACCAGGTGCCGCAGGATCTCAGGTCGGCTTGGGCACAGCGTGTGTAGCTGAAGAAAATACAAGATTACGAGTCGTGCAGCGTGTAGGGTGCGAGTGCGTGTACGGCCGAGGCAGGGGTGACGATGAATCGTAAATGCGCCTGCGATGCGGGTAGGTCGAACATGGACGGTCCGGCAGGATTGAGTACGACGGCGGCCTTGCGTACGTGGGTGTATCGCTTGTCGTCGTTGGGATCTTTGACGCGACCGTTTGTGCGGGTAAGAACGAGCCGAGTGTGGATGAGGTTGGTCCAAGTGTGTCCGAGTTGTGCCGTGCGTGGATGGAGCGTGTAGAGTGGAGAGTCGGAGTCGGTGGTGGTGGTGGTCATGGCTGCAGCTAGGGTAGGTGGAACGCTGGCGAGCAGTCCACTAGTGTAGGCGGACTGTGCGGCGTACTCCATGGCTGCTGGATGATCCGCCACGACGTCAGTGCGGCGGCTGGTGCGCGAGGCCGAATCAAAGACGAAGCGACGCGCGAGGTCTTTGTCGATGCCAAAGGCGTCACTGACATGGTTGATCACCACCACAGCCGCCGAGGTGCGCTTGAGTGCATCGGCAACGTCGACGAGCCAGCGAGAACGGTGGACGAGCGAGTCGATATCGCCCGCTACAGGGTCGTCCTGAAACAGTGCGGGTAGATTGTCCACCACTACCATGCCGATGTCGGTGCGAGAGGTGAGGGCGGGGAGCTGGTAGCGCAAGACGTGGTCGAGAGCCTCAATGTCCGCGACGCACGCCACGTGCAGGTTGCGCAAAAGTTGCGCGCGACCAAGCTCCACCGCGCGCTCCACCTCGTCCGCATTCGGGTGTAGGTGGAAGCGGTGGCGAATGGCGGATGAGGCTAGCTCTAGTGCACGCGACACGATGCTGTGTGCAGCTCGCTCGCCACTCGAGGTGATGTAGCATACACCTACGCCGTCGTCGAAACTTTGCTGGGACGGAGGTGGGATTGAGGATGCGAGTGGGGACAGTCCGAGCGCGGCAAAGGCGCACGCCTGGATGGCGATCTGCGTCTTGCCCGATGCGCTCTCGCCCACGATCTCGGTGAGGAGGGAGGATCGTAGACCGCCCGAAAGCAGCGCGTCGAGTTCGGGCGAGCCGGTGGTGTAGACGTGACGTGGGCGGCCATGCACAAGCGCATCGCTAGTCTGTGCCGGCGCCGAATCGTGCCAGTCGGGATGGCGCTCGAGTGGCCGCGTGGGTTCGACATCGTCGTTGTCAATCGCGGCGCTGCTGTCGTCGTCGTCTTCGGAGTCGTATACGAACTGGTGTGCGCCGGGGAAGTTGCCATCGTATCCCTGTGTGGGCGGCACGAGCCTCGCGTCGATCGGCTCGTCGTCGGTGTGCGAATCGCTCGAATCATCCGTGTGCTCCCCGAACAAGTCGTCGCCAAGCGGTGGGGGTGCAATGCCATTCAGCGCATCGAGCACAGAGATTGTCGAAGCTTTGGCCGCGGTCGCCACCTGGAGCAGCAGCAGCTCGACGTCGGCTGGGGCGAGTCGCAGCGCCTGTTGGAGGTGGAGCGGGGGTGTGAGGAGGAGCTCGTGCGTGCTAAACAGCTTGGCGCGTCGACAGCATGCCTTGATGCGTTTGGAGAGCCAGGGGACGTCCGAGATGGCCAGGATCGACATGACGGCCGAACGAGGCTGAGCTGAGCATGTTGAGCTTGGATGGTGAGGAAGAAGCTCCTCCACCCTTTGCGCCGACTGAGCCTCTTTGGCCAAAGTGTTGGTCTTGTGCGAAACGCGCGTGCGCGATCCATTTACGCGACTCGCCACATCGGCGCCATCGGCGAGATCGGGAGTCGATTTGTGGCTTCACCGGAAAAACGGCAAAAGAGTCGGCCTCGGCGAAACGTGCGAAGGACGGGACGTGACCGACGTGCATGTGCTCTCCCAAAATGAAAGAAACTGAAAGCTCGCCGATCGGATCGACTGACAGCAGCGGCCGATAGGGAGTGAAGGGACGAGATGCACCCGGCTCGGCGAGCGGCGCGCAGAGAGAGAGAGAGGGTAAGGCGGACGAGCGTTGCCCGAGCGCATGCACCTCGGAGCAGCCGCAATGAGTCGGGAACGCGCGCCCAAAATTCCAAACTGCCTTTTTTTCTATTTCCAAATCTCGACAGCGCGCGTGCCCTCGACTGAAAAGCTGCCGTTTGAATTCCGAGCGCAGAGCAACACCGCCACGCACACGCGCACCCTCTCTTCTTCTTCTTCTTCTTTTTGGCTGGTTCGCGCACGCGCATCAGCCGTCGGCAGCAGAGCAGAGCAGAGCAGAGCAAAGCCAGCAAAGACTGCAGATGCGCACGCGCTCGACAGCGGCCAGAACGGCCTCGCATATCGCACACCGCACGCGCACCCACGCATTCAACTGTCGTTCTCCTTCTCGCTCGCCTCGCCCAGCGTACAAAGATTGGCACGCTGCACCTCACGCCCTTGCCTCCGCACCACCTCCATCTCCATCCTCTCCCCTCAATCTTGGCCAACATGTCCACTACCGAAGTAGAGACCCTCGTTATCGGCGCAGGCCCCACCGGTCTCGGTGCTGCCAAGCGTCTCAACCAGCTCGTAAGTGTCGCCCAACGTGCATCCCAATCTTCCAATCTCAACTCCTCGTGCTAACCCTTTGCTTTTGCTGCTGCATAGAACCACGGCCCATGGCTGCTCATCGACGCCAACAAGGAGGCTGGCGGTCTCGCCTCCACCGACACCACCGACGAGGGATTCCTCTTTGACGTGGGCGGTCACGTCATCTTTTCGCACTACCAGTACTTTGACGACATGATCCACGAGGCGCTCCCCAACGCAGACGACTGGTACGAGCACCAGCGCGTATCCTACGTGCGCTCCAAGAACGTCTGGGTGCCCTACCCTTACCAGAACAACATTTCGGTGCTGCCCGTCCAGGAGCAGGTCAAGTGCATCGAGGGCATGATCGACGCCGCCGAGGAGCGCGTGCGTGCCAAGGAGGCGCCCCAGAACTTTGACGAGTGGATCCTGCGCATGATGGGCCAGGGCCTCGCCGACCTCTTCATGCGTCCCTACAACTTCAAGGTGTGGGCCGTCCCCACCACCATGATGCAGTGCAAGTGGCTCGGCGAGCGCGTCGCCGCGCCTTCGCTCAAGCTCGTCGTCTCCAACACGCTCAACAAGAAGGTCGCCGGCAACTGGGGCCCCAACGCCACCTTCAAGTTCCCCGCACGCGACGGCACCGGCGGCATCTGGAAGGCCGTGGCACGCACGCTGCCCCAGGACAAGCTCGTCTTCAACAAGCGCGTCGCCTCGGTCGACGCCGCCGCCCACACGGTGCAGCTCACCGACGGCTCGAGCATCAAGTACAAGCACCTCATCTCCACCATGCAGCTCGACTTTTTGATCGACAACGTCAAGCTGCCCGCCGAGGAGAACCACGCACAGCTCAAGGCCGCCGTCAAGGAAGGGCTCGTCTCGTCCTCGACGCACGTCATCGGCATCGGCATCCGCGGCAAGCTGCCACCGCGCATCGGCGACAAGTGCTGGCTCTACTTCCCCGAGGACGACTGCCCCTTCTACCGCGCCACCATCTTCTCCAACTACTCGCCCTACAACTGCCCGCAGGCCGACGCGAAGCTGCCCACGCTCCAGTACGCCGACCCGTCCAAGGGCACGCCGTCGAGCGACGCCAAGGAGGGCCCCTACTGGTCGCTCATGATGGAGGTGTCCGAGTCGCACCTCAAGCCCGTCGACGCCCAGACCATCCTCGCCGAGACCATCCAGGGCTGCATCAACACGCAGCTCATCAACGCCGACGACGAGATTGTCTCGACCTACCACCGCAAGTTTACGCCCGGCTACCCGACCCCGTCGCTCGGCCGTGACGCTGCGCTTGCCACGCTGCTGCCCGCGCTGGAGAAGCACGACATCTACAGCCGCGGCCGATTCGGCTCGTGGAAGTACGAGGTGGGCAACCAGGACCACTCGTCGGCGCTCGGATGGGAGGCGGTCAACCGCGCGCTGCTCGGCACCCCGGAACTCACGCTGCTCAACCCGGACTGGGTCAACGGCCGTCGCAACCACGAGCTGCGCCTCAACTAGGCGCAGGCGTCGTCGCCTTGATCCAATGTGTCGCTGGACTCCATGTACAATTCTTTCAAACCCACTCCATAGGGGAAGATTCCAATCTAGATTCCTTCTTACAAGCAGCAGCGGCGAGCAATTAGTGCAGGTTGTCGGTGAGCAAGCTCTGAAAAAAGGGGACGATCCTCGGCAAGATTTGGTTGAGCGGGGAGAGAGAGGGGACCCCAGCCCCGCTCGACGCGACACTACCGAAATTCCACCGAGGCTCGGCCCCTCCGCCGCGCTGATTCACCCACGCAGATGCAGCAGCAGCAKCAGTGGCGCGAGAGTGATCTTCTGCCAATTTTTGGGGGAAATTGCTGCTCTTGTTTTTTTCGGCGCGGTGCCGAGAGAGATAGACAGCGCAGGAGCCAACTTGGCTTCTAGGCTTGGCTCGAGGGCCCGAGTGTCACTTTTGGGAGTGCGCATCAGTCACTCTCTCTCTCCACACCTTCTTCTCCTCACATTCTCCCACCATCTCCTCCAAATCCCTTCCTCGAAAAAGCGCAGCTGAGCGTAAGTGACAAATCCTCGGCGATACAATCAATCAGCAACTGACTCCCACTCTCTGTGTCGTTGCCAACGCAGCCGCTCGCTACTCGTCTGCCGCCCGCAATGTCCTTCTCCTCACAGACCGGAAGCCGCAGAGGCTCCATCTCCGTCCAGAGCAAACGTCGTGGTTCAGGAACAGAGAAGCTCGAGTCCCACGTAAGTTCCATTCCATCAGCATCATATTGCACGCCATGGCCAGCCTCTCGTACATGCAGCGCACCTTGCTCACCCTCCAACCCCTCCGCATGTCTCTGCTCGCCAAACAGATCGCCTCCTGGCACACATCCACCCACAAGCATGAGGACATCCCACACGCACACGAAGAGCAGCTCAAGCAGGTCTACGAACGCTTCGAAAAGCTCTTCACCATCACCCCGCAACGACTCCGCATGATCACCGACCGCTTCGTCGGCGTGCTCGAAGAGGGCCTCCAAAAGGACGGACAGACCGTCCCCATGCTTCCCGCCTACGTCTTTGGCTGGCCCTCGGGCGACGAGGTCGGCTCCTACATTGCGCTCGACCTCGGCGGCACCAACCTCCGCGTCTGCCACGTCGTCCTCAAGGGCGCAGGCAAGTTCGAAATCACCCAGTCCAAGTTCCGCCTCACCGAGGAGCAGAAGCAGACCGAGGGTCAGGAGCTCTTTGATTTCTGCGCAGACTGCCTCGCCACCTTCATCCAGGACCACTTTGGCGACGCCAACGGAGACGTCATCCTCGAAGAGGAACTCGCGCTCGGATTCACCTTCTCCTACCCCATGGAGCAGGACCGCATCGACCACGGCAAGCTCGTCCGCTGGACCAAGGGATTCGGCAACCCCAACACCGAGGGCCGCGACTGCGCCGCCATGTTCCGCGCCTCGCTCGAAAAGTTCAAGCTGCCCATCAAGATGGTCTCGATCATCAACGACACCACCGGCACGCTCATCGCCTCGCACTACGTCAACCCGCAGACGCGCATCGCGTGCATCTTTGGCACCGGCTGCAACGCTGCCTACATGGAGCACATCGGCGACATCTCCAAGATCAACCACCTCGGCCTCCCCGCCGACGAGGACATGGCGATCAACTGCGAGTACGGCGCATTCGACTCGTTCAAGCACGAACACATGGCCGAGATCCGCACAAAGTACGACGAGCACATCGACCTCCACTCCAACAAGCCGCACGAGCAGTCGTACGAAAAGATGATCGCCGGCCTCTACCTCGGCGAGCTCTTCCGCCTGTGCATCTGCGACCTCATCGACGAGGGCGTGCTCTTCCTGGGCCAGAACACGTACAAGCTCGAAAAGACCAACGCCTTTGACACGGCCTTCCTCTCGCTCATCGAGTCGGACCCCACCGACGAGCTGCTCACCGTCACGGGCCTCTTTACGCACTTTTTCGGCATCGACACCACCATCGAGGAGCGCCAGTTCTTCCGCAAGCTCGCCAAGCTCATCGGCACGCGTTCGGCGCGCCTCAGCTCGTGCGGCATCGCAGCGCTCGTCACCAAGATGGGCTACCTCGACTCCGGGTGCGGCGTCGGCGCCGACGGCTCGCTCTACTCCAAGTACCCCGGATTCGCAGACCGTCTGCACCAGGCGCTCGAGGACATCTTTGGCGAAAAGGGTCGCAACATCCGCACCTACCAGGCCGAGGACGGCTCGGGCGTCGGCTCGGCCATCATCGCCGCCATGACCAAGGCGCGCAAGGAGGAGGGCAAGTTTGCGCATGTCTAGGCTTTCCCCGCTGGTTTCTCCATGTATCTTTCTTCTGGTTTGGCATGCAATGCTTGGTTCGAGTGATGATCTGCGTCCAGGCTGCGAGTCCGGGTGCGCGTGCGGGTGCGCGTGCGGGTGCGCGTGCGGGTGCGAGTGGGAGCGCTGTTTATATTGCAGCGAGCGAGTGGGGGATTCGGACGAAGGTGGCAGAAGGATGTTGGGTCTGCGCTCGGGCCTTTTTTTGCGCGAAAATTCAGCGAGGGCTTTGCTGTGTGGCTCCGGGCGCGGGAAGAGCTTGTGGACAAAGTCGCGCCGAGAGATTGCCGACGACACCCACCTGTGCGGCCCGGCAATGTTGGCTCGGCGCGCCGCAAATGGTGCGGAGAAGTCGCCGGTTGTACTGCCTCAGCCGCTCCGAATCAGGCACATCGCCCCGGAGTCTGTGAGTGGAGAGATTCGCCGGCAATCTTTCGCCGCTCGGCATTCTACCAGCCAAAACTCGTTCTCCCCCCCCTGGTGTTGGTGCTCGTTCGCCCCCCGCAGCTCTCTCGCCGATCGCAACAAGCGGGAAGCCGCCAAGCGGCCAACCTGCACGGGTCAAACCAACCCACCTCAGGAGAAGAGAGGTCAAGCCGTATATAACCCCCGCTTTGTGCACAGGGCGGGTATGCTCTCATCTCCATCATCTTCTTCCTCTTGATACATCCTTCACAATGTAAGTCGAGCATCGCAGCTCAAACGAGTTGTCTCGCGCAGCGGCAGTTGCTGACGTCCTCTATCTCTCTTTTCTTGCGGTTGTGCAGGCCCGCCTCCCACTTCAAGCTCAACTCTGGTGCGTCGATCCCGTCGGTGGGTCTCGGCACGTGGCAGTCGCCCAAGGGCGAGGTGCGCGACGCCGTGTGCCACGCGCTCAAGTCGGGCTACCGCCACATCGACTGCGCCTGGGGCTACCAGAACGAGGACGAGGTCGGTGAGGGCATCCGCCTCTCCGGCGTCCCCCGCGAAGACATCTGGATCACCTCCAAGCTCTTCGAGTTCCACCACAACCACGTCCGCCAGGCCGTCCAGGACACCCTCGACAAGCTCGGCGTAAAGTACCTCGACCTCTACCTCATGCACTGGAACATCGCCTTTGTCCCCGAGGACGTCCCCGCCGGTCAGCTCCCCCGCGACTCCAAGAAGGACCCCAAGACCGGAAAGCACCTCCTCGACCTCGAGACCACCGAGAACTTCGTCGGCGTCTGGAAGGAGCTCGAGAAGCTCGTCGACGAGGGTATCGTCAAGAACATTGGTATCTCCAACTTCTCCATCCGCCGAACCAAGGAGCTCCTCAAGTCGTGCCGCATCAAGCCCGTCGTCAACCAGGTCGAGCTCAGCTTCACCTTCCCCCAGCCCGAGCTCGTCGCGTGGCTCAAGAAGAACGACATCCTCCCCCAGGCTTACTCTCCCCTCGGATCCACCGGTGCCAGCCAGGCTTCGCTCAGCGTCGTCGACGAGATCGCCAAGAAGCACGGCGTTCAGGGTGCCAACGTGCTCATCTCGTGGCAGGTCGCCAGGGGATGCAACCCCCTCCCCAAGTCCGTCACCCCGGCCCGCATCGAGAACAACATCAAGCTCGTCGACCTCTCGGCTGAGGAGCTCGAGCAGCTCGAGAAGGGCGCGCTCGCCCAGACGCCAAAGAAGGTCTGCGACCAGTCCGACCTCGTCGTCCCCGCCTACGACATCTTTGAGGCCAACAACCCCACCAACAACGACAAGGTCCAGGCCGCCCAGGCTTAAAACGCTATCAAAACCATACCGCTGCTGCAAAACAAGGCCAATGTGGACCCTTTACCATTCCCCCATCCAACAGTAGAACTTTTTTCAATGTCATCTCGTGCCATCATTGCAAACGGTCTTGATACGATCAGCGCTGGAATGCTCGCGAGCGAGACGGATGCTTGGGCTGCATGAGTGCAGTGCGTGTCGTCACAATGCAGAGGTGGGCGGCATAAGCGTTGGCGCGGTGGGCGAGAAAGGTGGGGCGGCCACCGAGGTCTCACCGATCCCCGGCGCAACTCGATGTCACCCGCCGCACGCAATGAGCCTGCATCGCCGAATTCGCCGCCACCACATCCGCCATGCTTTCCCAAGCTGCACGACAGTCGCGACCTTGTCGAAAGCCTCGTCTGTGCAAAAAGCTCATGTGATATGATACTTGACGGGCATGAACTTTTCTTTGGCTTCGACAGTCTGCCAAAGCGGCTAGCATATGAAGCGCAACGTTGTCGTGCTTTTGGCTTCCGCTTGATCGCAGATCCGTCTTGGCAGCCATGCCATCCGGCTTGTCACATTAAACCTACGGCTCCATCCGCGCCGCGCGGAGTTGCGCGAGTGCCATGGTCTTGGCTCCCACGAGCCAATAACCCGAGGCCCGCTCTTCATATCATCTCGCATGGGTGGAGCCTACTCGATCTCCGTACCTTTTTTGCAAGTTCACATCCTGTTCCCCCTCCCCCAACTTGGTGTCCCAGTGTGTCAAAGCTCTGATTTATGCATCCTTGTCCTCCCGCCTACCTCTTCCACCACCCCGGATCGGATGCGATGGATAGACGGCGAGAGATGCTTTCGAGAAGTCCATCGTTGCACGCAGCCATGGCATCGGTGGACGCATACCCGCGATCCGCATCCCTAGACTTGCTGCGCAGTCCCACCGTGTCGCCACTGCCAGTGCGAGCATCCTTCGAGTCCGTATCAACGTTGCGAGGACATCGCATCTCGAGCCCAATCTTTCTTAACAGCAGCGTGGGCGTTCGTCCCCAGCCACAAGACGAAGAGCCAAAGACTCCGCGCCACGAGACGTCAGACCATCTGCGAAGCAAGTTCAGCATGTCACCCCTCCAGCCATCGAAACAAAGTAAGGCAAGGGTGTCGCAGGATCCCCCTTGCATAGCAAGATTGGAAGCCAAGACAACCATTGGGCACTGGTCGCATAGCTTGGGGGCCGCCGCCAGAAGGTTGCAGAACACGCTTCCGCGAAGAGGCGACGCGGTGGCGACGGTCAAGATAGATTCGGACTCAAACGAAGTAACGCCCGACAAGAAGGCACTCAAGGGTGCTGCGAGCTTCGCGTCGATTCGGAGACTGATGTGAGTAGCCATCCCGCTTCACTTTCGTTGTGGTGGATCATTGACACCTTATGGTTTGTGCTGTAGAACGCCGTCGAGGAGGACGAGAAAGGTTTCGGCGGCGCCTAGGCTTGCTGTGCCTCGGTCAGCCATCGTAGAGGTGGAACAGGGTCCGGAGCCTGGCTCAGCCGCGGCTCATGACGATGCAGGATGGATGGATGCCGAAGGTAGTGCGGAAGGCGGCGCTCGCCCGCGAAGCAGCGAAACCGCCGAGCTGCATGTGGATACTTCACCGCCAGGCTCGAGTTGCGCGGCTCGACCCGGCAACCGCTGTTCCAAAAGCTCGAGCGTCAGCGATCAAGGTGCAACTCAATCTGCTTCGGCAGACGTGCTCGCAAGACGTGCAACAAACAGCTCCGATCAGAATAGCACAACAGTGATTGCACGCCACGACGCCGAGTCCACGCATTCAATCACGCACGAGGTGCTCCAAGACGATTTTAGTCTCGTGGGCGATCGCGGCACGGAGCGGGACCAGACAAGCAAGACGTGGAGCGGCCCCCCACCGCCAGCCCCTTCAAAGCTCAAGACGCTTCAGCTGCTGGCTCGGCGGCCCTTCCACGCATTCGGAAGAAAGATGCGAGAGATGGATGTATCGTGGTGGCCGCGCAGCTCGCAGGATGAAGCCAACTCCCAGCCGCCTACCTCGCAATGCACTGTTCCAGCGTTTGCGCTAAGGCGCAGCGAGGACTTGCTGTCCAAGGCGTCTCCGCGAGTCTGCCCACATGCTAATCCAAGCCGCAGCTTGAACCAGGGTAAGTTGGCATTCCCGCTCCCATACTCAGCGACCCGAGCTGACCTTCGAGCACCCTCTACCTCTTCTGGACACGTTATAGATCGGATCCAGCTTCCGTCCAAAGTCGTGCCCATCCTCTCGACTGGTACTGCCGTATACAAGCGTCGACCTAATATTCCCGAAGCGTTCGTCCGGCAAGTGCCAGCCTCAGCGGCACAGCCTCGGCCTTTGGAACGGCCGACGGTGAGTGCACCGCTGCTCGCGCCAAGGATCTCGAACAATCGCCATCCATGGATGAAGCAGCTCCACCTAAGCAACAACCTCGCAGCCCAAGCAGACGCCATCACGGAGCCAAGCCTTGGGCAGGATCAGACACGAAGCGTAGCGAAGGGGATCACAGACGCCAAGGTTGCGGTGCCCAAGCTGTCGTTGACCGCTGCAGAAGATGCCGTTCACCTGCCGATGTATGGTTCGAGTCGAGTGGTGGATGTAGAAGACTCGGCCTGTCGAAGGCCACCAGCATCGTTGCTGGGACAGTCGCTGCCCATTCCACCGCGCGGCGGTCGAAGGCGCGCGAGCACAATTAGCTCGCAGAGCTCGAGCGTCTCGTCACCATCGGGCAAGGTGATCGTATCGCGCCGCTCCTACGGCCAGCGCTCTCGCTCGCCCGGCTCCAGAGAAAGAGCAGGAAGTATCCGATCGGTGGGAACCTCGATCCTCTTCGGCGAAACGCCGCCTGGAACGCCAGGTTTGCGAAGGATGCTCTCGCCTCAGATCTCGTCCGGTTCACCATCGCGCGGGGTGTACGCGCGAAGCCCTTCGAAAGTGGTCCTTGTCCCCAAGTACTCGCCCGCGCGACACCGACAAGCGGAAATAGGGCTGCAGCGCAAACCGTCGTCGAGCTTCACCGCCGACTCGGAGCAGGAAGAAGAGCAGGAGTGGGTGGACGAAGCTCCCGCCAACGCGAAACGGCTAGACCTCGTGGCACTCCGCAGCAAGATTGAGGCGGCTCTGCCGGCGGCAAGGCCCGGATTCCTAGAGATGAGCGAGGCGACAGACACGCTTTCCTACCTGGTCAAGACATTCAACGGGAGCTCGGGATCGCTCATCTCAAATTCATCGCCGTTCAAGACGGGCGCTCTTGCGGATCCAACGAGCCCGCGAGATTTGTACGGGATCGCAGAGGCAGACGAGATCGACTTGTCGCGACGATCGGCTTGTTATCTGGGAGGGCGAACTCGTGTCCGGCTGACGAGCAAGGCGAGTCTGGTCTCGACAGAAGCCAATTCGAGTTTTGAAGACTCGGAGGAGCTGCAAAAGCTTCTGGACAGCATCATGGCGACGGACCTCGGAAATAGCTGCGATACAAGCGGATCGCAAGGCGATATGGCGCTTCTATCGCCCTTTGGATCGCCTGCAGATAGACCCGAGCCTTGCGGTGATGCGGGCTGTGCGAGCGAGTCACGCTTCAGGGCAACACCACGGTCGTCGCCGATGCCACCGCCGCCCAAGTTCCTGCTCAACGACAGGCCCATCTCGCCGCCGGACTCGACCAACATGAGCGAATGCATGCACACGTCGGCATCCGACGACCCTTGCACCGCCCCGCAACCGCCACCGGCATCAAAGCCTTTCGAGCTCGCACCTGCATCGCTCTGCCGTACAGCCAGCTGGTCGAGCGCCACTAGCCAGGCAAAAATCAGCCGCGTACCTGTAGCGACGCTCAGCTCGCACCACGCTCAGCGTCAGCCACCATTCACATCCCGGCTGTAGCAGCCCTTTCTGTTTTATAATGACACGGACCTTGCCTGTTCTGCAAGCGGCGCCCGAGTGACCGGAAGCATGAAAACGGCCCGGGGCCTTCACCGACCAACATGGTCGAGTGACCCTCGTGTGTGAATTTTGACATCTGTTTGTCGGCTGGATGTCCAATTCGTGCACAGCTGCCAGCGAGCGCATCGAAGGGAGCCTGACTGAAGTAACCGAACACATCTCTCTTGAATCATAGAATCACGATGTCTACCCTGAGCCAACTTATCATATGTACGTTCCATGAGCCCTAGACGCATAATTCATAAGCATCTCACGAATATGAGACAGCATTGGCTTTTGACCCCATTGAGGGTGTTGACCATTGAATTTTTTCCTCCGGCAGAAGGCGCCTCGATGTCGGTTGCAATGCTGGGATTGTGTTCAAACATTCATCAAGCTTGGGCGTGAGAGAGCGCGAAGGCTTCAGAGCTCTCAAAATTTGATTTTCATCAGTAGGAGCGAAATCATAATTCGGGTAACTTACCCCTATGATTCATATCTTAGAAAGCTGTTGCTTGCGCGCTCAGAACCGGTCTCCAGCTTAATCAGTTTCACAGTCAACATTCTGAAAAAGAGAGACCTGACTGATTGCTGGCGTCGCCGTGTCGCGATTTTTCAGCCACGAGAAGATGACTTCGCCAAAAGGTGCTTGGACACCAGCTGTGAGGCTGACACTGTCCATCGACATACATATCCTAAAAAGACGGGGGGGTTGGCGAGGGTCAGCCACCCATCAGCCACCCACACACACATGGGTGGCTGCTAATTACCAGCCACCCGGGGTGGCTGATGGGTGGCTGACCCCGAGAAGCCACCCCGGGTGGCTGCTGGGTGGCTGCTCCTCGCCAGCTCGCGTTTTTTTAGGATATGATAGCCAATCGCGCTGGCTTCAACCTAGGCAAAGCTAAGCCTCCGCTTTTGACGACGGTATTAACCACGAATTGAAAAGCACTCAGCAAATTATTGGACACCCTCCGGGAGTAGACAAGTCACACCCTGCGCCACCCGCTGACCTGGGGTGGCTGGGACTGCAAGTTGAGCCAACTGTAAGTCCGCCAATTTTGCGTGGCTTGCAAATAAATAAACAAAATTATGGAAGCACAAGTTACGTAACTTAAGTTAACTTAATTTAAATAGCCGTTCAGAACAAGAGACGTTAACTCTTGTTGTGTCTCCATCGTCATGAGGAGGTTCACGGATGACTGTCGCGAAACTGAAATTGTAAACTAGGTTGACCCATCTTCCTTGTGTCTCGTGATTTACAAGCCATCACTTCGGACGCAATAGGCTCCAGATCACAGGGCAAACAGAAAATCATTCCGACATTCTAGGTGATGGACAACTTAGTGATTTGGGTCGCGATTGACTTATTCCTTCGCTGTCAGTTCTGTGATTCTCCCGGTTCGATGAATGCTTGTCATAGTGGTTGCTTTCAAACACCAATTTTCCGTTCCCAACCTCCGTGATCCTTGTTGGCTAAATCATGAGCTGTTCGACACCAAGTCTAGAACCTCAAGAAAAGCGAACCGGCGAATAGGTTGTCATCGAGACATCGGCCAGCTTGCAGTCACTCCATTGCGTGTGACAGGCTATAGCAGACTATCAGCCAGCCAAGCTGATGCCTGGCTGCTTCGTCATTCTGCGTTGCTTCAGCATATTATGAATAAGTTATGTGACATCTGATAATCTTATGTCTCTCAGCCGGGCGGCCTTCACATGCCTTCTGCCTGCAAACAAACTTTCGGGAAGTTCCACGGTCTACAACGCTGATGGTTCCACACAGCTTTATGATTTTCTCGTCTTCTCAAATTGCCGGTTCTGTGCAGCTGCATTTACGAATTTTTAGCTGAACTCAGGGTAAAATGCCTCAAATTGAATCTCAAAATCATGAACCCCAGGACTACGATTATTTCCTGTTCTTTTGACGCCCATGCGCAGCTCTCGTTAGGATATCTCTCAAATGAGTGCGCCTTTCCGGAAATCTTGGCTCCCCACACAAATCCCGGCAAAAGCTCCAGGCATTCAGCAATTCCTAGATCTCATCCCATATTCCCATCTGGGCCATGAGCGCTTCCCCTTCCCTTCCATCACCTTCCTCCCCAACCAGCAAAGATGCCAATTTACCACATACAGAACGGCAATTCCTATGACCCCTCTGCTGTCTTCAATGGTGATTGCAAGCTCAAAGTTCTCTTTGAGATTGCATGGGATTCAAAGGCCCCGGCTGATGCCAGGAACTTTGCCTCCATCCTCATTGATGAGGTCATCATATCCTAAAAAGACGGGGGGGTGGCTGCTCCTCGCCAGCTACCGTTTTGTTAGGATATGCATCGGCAGCGCCGAGCTTCAGCTAGAAGCTGGTGCAAAGCACCTCAGGCCAATAATAGAGCAAGGCAGTCAGCAGGTTGAGACCAACAAGCTTGCTGGCGATGTCATTGGATGGGGAGAGAGGCTGTTGGCTGGTGAAGTGATCATAGCACGCGCGTCAAAGCATGGAGGAAGATGCGGAAGGATCTTTGAGGAAAGCGGCCCAGATTTGAGCACCCTCTGAGCCTTGAGACCGCAGGCGGCCTGGCTCCAGGCATGCAACACTTCCTCGATCCGATCCAAGTCCCATTTGAGAGGCTTGTGGCCATGCACGCCGGGCCGCTCTTCCGATTTCGTGGGCTCACAGCAATTTACTGTGCAGTCGTATTTCAGTCATACCGAACCTGAACGTTTTCAGGTACAAGCGGCAGTATTTGACGATGAGTATTTGACCTCATGCCTGTCAATTTTCTCGACCACAGAAAATCACGATCCACGGTTCCGGCCCAGATGTTCAGTTTCGAGAAAGAGAACGATAAATCATAGCTTTCATCGAATTGCTTAATGCACGATGCTACTTGTGACTGAGCCATGCCTAAGTATGGTTGATGAATTGCCCTCCGAGCTGGATCAGAGGTACCAAAAATTGACGCTGGCGCTGATGGACAGGCTCTGCACACAATGGTACCAGCCCTTGGGGATGTAGAGCACATCGCCTGGGCCGAGCTCTGTGACGAAGGCGTCTTCGCTAGCGAGCGCGGTGGAGAGCAGTGGACGGTCGTGAGCGGGATGGAGGAGATCGTGCTCTGATGCGATGGCGGATGTGTTGCGCTGTGGACCGGTCTGGTTGATGTAGAGGTAAGGGGCGAGATGTGGCGCGAAGAGATGGATGCGCTTGCGACCGACGACTTGGGCGAAAATGTTTTCGTATGGGTCGCGGTGCAAGGGGGTATACGTGGCTGGCGGGCCGATCCAGGTATTGCTACGCCATTGCTCGTTGGTGCCCTTGGGTCCTGCGGTTGTGTGCGGCAAGGCGGGTGCTTCAGCTGCGAGGCTGGGAGCTTTTGAGAGGAGGTCGAACTGTGCCAGGTAGCCAACGGGCTGGCGCTGTGCGGCTTGGCCGTCGTTGTTCCAGGGGATCTTGCCCTGGACGAAAGCGTCTACGAACAGAGCTGCCGTGGGGGAACGAGTCATCGTGTCGTCAGTGACCAGCGGTCGTCAGTGACCAGCAGAGGGTTTGGAATCGGTGCGAGCGCAACCTACCCAAGGGCATCTCGATGCGGTCCCAGTGTCCCGGCGCAGCGTTGTATCCCAGATTGGGGCGAGAGATCTCGACGGGAACGATGATCTGAGCGGAGTCAGGCCTCTTGAGGCCATCGAGCGTCTCTCGTCCGTTGGCGTCGAGTGAAGACCATTTGTGGAGCGCGGGCCAGACCACCTTGTCTGTGGACGGAGTGGGGGAGAGCAGCGCTTCGAATCGGGCTGGGCGTTTGGGGAGGAAGAATTCGTGGACAAAGCGAGACGTGGGCAGGCCGTCGCTGATGGAGAGCAGACGCCTGACCGACATGATTCGGCTGGCCCCCAACGCCAAGGGGATGGTGGTGGCGAGGTGCGATGGGATCGTGCTCGACAAGAAGATCCGGCTCACTGCAGCAAACGAGCACAGACCCGTCGAAAAAAAGTGGAGGAGACGGCGATCCGCAATTCATCCGTCAGACACCGCCGCACCAACCTCGAGCGCCGGGCAGATTTCGACGAGGTTCCGAAGCAGGCACACCCAGCAAGTCAATCACAACCCTCCGCGTCAAGGTGCTCTCTCTCACGCCTGCACGTCATCTGGAAGGGATGTGGACAGTGAATGCTTCGAAAAAAAGGATGCATAGTAATACAAAGCGAGAAAGAAGGAGCAAAGGATGCTCGAAAAACGGTGACAAATGCTACTTGGGGCGCGACCTACATCAACCAGTCCCAGAAGCGTTCGAGGGTGGAGCGGGTGATCTGCGACTCCTTGATCTTTTCCGCCTCCTCGTTCTCGTCGATCTGCCTTCGACCGGTGTCAAAGTCCATCTGGGAGAGGCTGACGAACTGGGTCTTGTGGTAGAACTTCCAGCCGAGCCAGAGGACGACAAACATGGGGATGCAGATGTAGGTGGTGACGAAGCTGCTCGTGCTCCACTGGCCGTTGAGGAAGACGGTGAAGCCGGCGAAGAGCAGCACGAGGCTGAGGAAGATGATGCCAAAGTAGGTGAGGTAGGGCTGGAAGGGCGCAGTGTAGGGGAGCGTGTTGCGCGCGATGCCGTGGAACTTGAGGCCGTGGTAGAAGCGGGCGTAGGTGCACAGGATGATGATCCATGCAATGATGATCGAGATGGCCGAGATGTCGTAGAGGTACTCGAACGCCTGCTCAGCGCCGCCCGCGCCGCACGACATGTAGGCGAGCGGACCGAAGAGCGAGGTGACCACGAGCGCCCACACGGGGAGGCCGTTCTTGGTGCACTTGCGCAGGAAAGCGGGCGCCTTGTTCTCGAGCGCAAGCGCGTAGATGGTTCTGGAGGAGGCGTAGAGATCCGAGTTGGCAGCGGACCAAGTTGTGACGAGGAGCACGGCGTTGACAATGTGGGGAAGCACGCGGATGCCCGAGTTGCTGATGGCGAGCACAAAGGGCGAGGCGCTGGCGTCACTGCTGCCGTTGAGCAGACGAGGGTCGGTGTAAGGGACCACGAGGCCGACCATAAAGATGGCGAGGACGTAGAAGAGGAGGATACGCCAGAAGACGCGCTTGATGGCCTTGGGCACGTTCTTGCGCGGGTTCTCTGCCTCGCCGACGGCGACACCGATGATCTCGGTACCTGCAAACGAGAAGGCGGACTGGACAAAGACGTTCCAGAATGCGAGGAAGCGACCGAACGCGCCGCTGATGCCGCCGGTGGGCCTGCCGGTGACGGGGTCGGGCTGCCAGAAGAGCTGGGCCATGGGGCCGGGATCCTTCCAGTAGCGGAATCCGATGCGGTCGCCGCGGGGGCCGCCGCCGAGGTCGATGACGAGCGAGGTGATGATGAGGACGATGATGGCGACCACCTTGATGAGGCAGAACCAGAACTCGGTTTCGCCGTAGTACTTGACGCCGAGCGCGTTGACGCCGATGACGAGGACGAGGAGGATGGAGATCCAGGCGGCGGGGTTGATGGACTGGGTGGTGTCCCAGTACTGGATGACGATGGCGGAGGCCGAGATTTCGGTGGGGATGGTGATGCCGTACGAGTACCAGTAGGTCCATCCGAGGGCGAAGCCGAGACTGGGGTCGAGGAAGCGGGTGGCGTGGTGGGTGAAGCCACCGGGGACGGCGAGGAGCGTGCTGACTTCGCCGAGTGCGACCATCATGGAGTAGACGACGACGCCCATGATCATGTAGGCGATGAGGGTGCTGACGGGACCGGCGTTGGCGAGGGAGCCGCCGAGACCGACAAAGAGGCCGGTGCCGATGGTGCCGCCGAGGGCGATCATGGAGAGATGCCTCTGCTTGAGGTTGCGCTGGACGTGACCGTCGGGCGAGTGCTCGTCCATGCCGAGGCGCTCGATGGCCGAGGGATCATTGTAAGCTGCCTTGGCGTAGCTGTCGGACGAAGGGATGGACGACTTTTCCATGTCGGGCGAGAGCGGTGTAGAGGCGATTCCGTCGGTGGACGCCATGGTGTCGGCAGGCGATCGATCCACTCGAGAAAGTGGACGAGAAGAGAGTCGGGTGGTCCGGTGAGGTGGAGAGAGGGGCAAAGAGATGTGATGAGAGGGAAGCAAGTTCGGGAAAAGACCGAACAGGGGATTGGCATATATGCAAAGGCTCGAGCGGCGAGGCCAAGGTGGGCCAAAGCTGGGCCAATCAAACGATAGCCGTGTCTGACTGCACTGACAGATTTGGCCGGAGAGGAGAAGAAAACTTTGCGGCGGCGGCGTCGGCGGCGGCAGTTTGTTTTTCTTTTTTTTTGCAAAGTGGAGCGGGCGGAGAATTTTGGAGCGGCAGTCCAAAGTGGAAGTCGAGGTCGCGCAGTTGGATCGGCCGGCCCGCCGTTGGAATCCATCGCGCCGCCACTCGTTCGGAGTCGAGCCGAACCTCTGAGTCACTCGAACGGCGCTGTGGGGGAGCAAGAGAAACTCTGCCTTTGCCACGCTACTGTATCATTGCTTCGGATGGGCCTATTCTGTGTGATCCAATCTGCTTTGGACGTGCCGATTGGACGCCCCATTGGCCGCCGATAAGACAGAGTTCGAGAGAAGCTCATCAAGCGCAGACACTTTTGTAAGGTTCGAAGCGCGGGAGCGAATCAAGTGGCGGCAGGGCGTCATGACATGCGGAGCGGGCCTTGCCAAGGTGGATTAGGCGGGTGTGATTGGACATGTTTGCAATTTCCACCTGCCGCCGAAACTATTCCGCATTGGCTCGCCCAACCTTGGCTGCTTCCACGCCAGCCAAAACTTTGTCTGCGCCTCGCACTCGTGCACTTGGTCAAGCTCGCACTCACCACCAAGCTCCGAGTCACATCTTTTGGCGATACAACGAACAGCCGTATTGTATTGATCGCCTGCTCGGTGGCAAAGAGGCGGCGGCAAGTGCCGGTCGCGCTGCGCAACCCACGGCGCGGACAAGCAGGCGGAAGATCAAAATTCGTTGCCGCGGGTTCACCTCAACTCGGCTCTTTGACAGCCAGCCATTTCCGAAAGTTTGGATTCGAAAATTCACCGAACCCGACCGTCACGACCGCCTGCCAACCTCGCACAACGCCGTCCGAGCCGAAGCGTCAGATGCATCTCCTGCCACCGATTCGTGTCCGATCAGTCCTCGCCACTCGCCACTCGCCGTGAAATGGCCCGAACACCTCCGCCTTCGGAAGTCTCGGCTCGCCCTTCGTCGCCCGCCACGAGGCCACAAGGCACCGTGCATCGTGCCCTTGCAGCGCTTGGTCGCTTTTGCCCCGCACAACAGCTCGTCCACTATTTCACCCTCGGCAGCGTGGCGTCTCGCGAGTCACTCGGGTTTCGCCGGTCGCGCGACGCGTTGTCAACCTAACATCTCAGGATTGCACTTTGTCAGCATTAGTCACACAGCCTCACTCCACCTCGAGCACCGCACCACAGACCCTGCAGCAAAGGTGAATCTTCTTCCGAGGTGGCTCCTTCCACTCACACCACGCCGACGCCGACGCTACCTTCTCGATCGAACGCGGTGCAATGGCCACCACCACCAAGGGCAAGGTGTCCCAGCCAGCCGCGAGGCACAGCGCCTTCCACGACTCGGACGACGACGACGACAATGACGCCGCTCGCTCCACCCATCGCTCATCTGGCCGTCAAGAGGAGATCGTTTCGTTTGGCCGCAACGGCGCTCAAAAACGTACATCGTCTCCTCCTCGCCCCACAGCACCACGCGTAATCCCAGTCGCATCCAATCTCGATTGGCGCCAAGATCGCAAGCAGCGCATGGGCATCGCCACCAACTTAAAGTCACTCGGCCCCCTCGTCTCCATGAGACGCGCAGACTCGTCCGTCGTATCAGGCCCCTCCCAAACCCACGACAATGACAACGCTGCAGACGCCATCAACACCGATGCTCAGAAAAGCGGCTTGGAAATTCGCCAGCCGAGGACTCAGCAGACCGCCTCATCCAACCCTGACTCGCGACCAGTACCCGCCGATTCCGAAGCACTACCAGCGCCCGCACCACATGCATCCGTTCAAGGCACCGACGAGGAGGCACTCAAAGCTCTCCTGGCGGGCGAAAACGGCTCTGCAGAAGCTGGAACTCATCTCATCATCCCACAGGAGGACGAAGCCGAGTTCCTCCAGCACGACATCGAATCCAGACCAGAGGCGCCTTCGCTCGATGACTATGCAGCACTTCCCATCGAGCAGTTCGGCATGGCCCTGCTTCGTGGCATGGGCTGGAAGGAAGGCATGGGCGCAGGGAAAGGTGGCAAGGGTCCACAGCAAGCCGCCGAGCCCAAGAAACGAGCCGCCTTGCTCGGCCTCGGCGCAAAGGAGAGGGCCGTTCCGGCTACAGGTTTGCCTTCCTCGTCCTCCTCCCACAAGCATCGATCCTCGGGTAAACGCGACTACAAGTACGTTCCCATCACAAGAGCCGACAGTCCAGCAACTTCAAACACAGATCCTCCATCGCGCCACTCCAGCCGCGACGGCGACAAGCCTCGCAGCCACGCATCATCGCATCGCGACGAGCGCAGAACAGACACGTCCGATCGCCATGCTGCCCCGCGCGACAGCACCAGGCACACCGACTCGCACTCGTCTCGAAGACGCTCTCGCAGTCCTACGGCAAGAAGGCAAGATCGACATCAGACCAATGCAAGGGCGGAAGACGACATAGCCAGGCGCTCTCATGCCGCTTCCAGCTCCGTTCGTGAGCACAGGCGCGACCGCGATCGAGACGACAGGCACCGACACGACAAACATCGCGACGAACGACATCGAGACCGTCGTCGCTGAACGATCCGCGTCGTGCGCTCAAACCTCGATATACCCAGTTCATAGGAAATTTCGAATGCCAGACCCAATGCATGCCGAGCCCCATCAGAGCGTCGATGAGCGGTGAGATATGGGATGAGCAGGGGCCTTTTGCCAATCTGTTGTACTTTGAGCTCAGTGTCCTGTGTCAGACGGAGGCCGCCTTGATTTCCTGGTCTTTCTCCGCACCTTCCGATGCACGTCTGCATGAAAATCCCGCACGCGCGTGCTCGTTAGGGCGTGTTGCTCTTTCCCGTACCTCGTTAAGCTCGCGGAAGCATGTGTGCGCTCTTCAATTCCGCTCGCCATTCTTCTTGCACACCATCACTCCCACCTCCTTGGACGCCATGCAGACCGGGCGTCTCGCATCGATCGGAGACCAGCTTTCGAACTGGTCTCAAACACCTTTGCATCCCCTCTTCCCCGTCGGCGCGCTTGGATTGATCCACGCAGTGAGGGTCAGCCATGCTACACGCCAGGTCGCAGGAAGCCACAAGAGCCGTCTGGGCGTGTGGCAGGGCCTTGTGCTCAACCAGATTCTCATGTTTGGAGGTGTCGTGATCAGCGGCATGCTTCTCGGCATTCCGTCGCCGCTGCTTAGCGCCTGGCCCGTCGTCGCACTCTACGGCGGCGTCCATGTCGCACTCGATGTCACGCCTGCTGGTAAGGCGTTGCTTCATGCCCAAGATGTCGAGCTTGTAGGAACACTGTGAGTATGTTGCTGACCCCGACAATACCACAGGATGACTGATACATCTTTTGCACTGAATGTAGAATGGACCTGTCTTTCGCACTGCTCGACGGCATCCTTCGAGCCGAAGGCATCATCGATCTGGGCGTCGAACCGGTAAGCACCTTGCCGCCACAAATCCTCCTTCCCCTCGCATCCGCATTGACCTAACCCATCTTGATCCTACGACAGGTTTTGCGGCACGCATCTCGCCAAGTCGCCACCTCGCTGTTTGCCGTTCTTCTCAATGCTGCCATCGTGGGTGGAGGCATCCCTCTGCTCATCGATTTGTTCCGCCTCGACTCGACGACGGGAGAGTGGGGCGTTCGAAGTCCTGCGTGGGCCAAGAATCCGTTCAGCGGCACCAACGATATGCTCAGCTCGGCGTTCCTCGCGCTCGTCTATCTCACACTAGCCAGCCCGGCCACGGCGCCGATTGCACTGCTGCGCGATGCGCTCCATGCGTTCGGCGCCGAGAGTCTGGACGCAAGGGATGTTCGCACGCTGTGCTCCCTTCTGCTTGGCTCCATCCTCCTATCAGAGAAAGCGACCGTGCTGTCGAATCAGCAAGCGCAGCACGAGATGGCCAAGAACGGCTCCGTCAATGGCAACACAAAGTCCAAGTCCAAGTCAGCCAGGAAGCTCCAGTAGAATCGCTCCTCCAATTCTCATTGCATGATTTGTCGCTCATCACTCTGTTCCACGAGCTCGCTGGAAAGTGTCAAGCGTGAAAACAACACAAACGTTGTATGGGGGCTTGGCGATTCACCAGATGCGCGATCGGATCATGTTGTACCGACTGACCTCCATGAGCGAAGTCTCCTTCTTTGGCTTGGCCGAGTCCACCTTTGACTTTTCCCTTTCCTTCGCTGCGGGCAGCACGTGCGAGCCGTCGAGTTTGATCTGCACCGCGTCGTCGTCGGGCCTGTCGATGAAGCGGCCGAGCGACTTGTCGTAGCTCCTCTCGTCCTTGTTGGTGCCGATCGGCGCTCGATCGCGCGAGTTGAGCGCTTCTTCGTTCTCGCGCTCGTGCATGCTCGCATAGCGATGCGATGCAAAGCTGACCAGATTCGTGCCGATCAGCAGCTTGATCGCCACCAAGAACGCCCACGCAATCACGGCGGTGAGGGCCCATGCGGAGCCGCGCACGAACAGGTCGAGTGCACGCACCCACTCGTTGTTGATGTCCACCGCGCCGAGCTTTCGCGCTACGACGCCGATCCAGCTCGTCTCGGAGATGCGCGGGTTGACGGGCGCGATGCACTCGTCAATGTGACTCGTGTCGCCGATCATGCCGATGATCTGCAGAATCAGCCGCACCAGCAGGCATGCTAGCGGCAGAGCAGCGAAGCCGAGTCGACGGCTGATGATGGGGCTCTGGTCGACAAACGTATGCTTTCGGCTGTTCTCCCTCATCGATGGTCCGCCGACAACGAGGTCTCGACAGAGCACGTCCATGAATCGGCCGTAGACGGCGGGACGGATGTGGTTGAACTTGGTGATGAAGGCGTGCTTGAGCCAGTCGACGATGCACTCGCTCGCCAGCACGATCAGCACCGGCGTCAGCACCGTCTCGAGCAAGCTGAGACTTGGGAAAACCGTGAAGCTCGCCGGCAGCGGACTGGCAGATGGCTCTAGCGATCCGCCCGAGAGCTCGATGAGATTGCGCAGGCCGATGGCCGATAGCATGAAGGTGAGCTGGAAGCGCTCGACGATGTCGGCGCACGTCATCTGGAAGACATTTTCCTTTTCGAACTTCTTGAACACGCTCGACTTGATCTCGACAAACTGGTTGGAGAGCAGCAGTGTGAGCAGTGCATTGTCGTAGCTGTTGATGGCCACGTTGAGCGTGACGAGCTGGTAGAAGAGCACGAGCGTATGCGCGAGCACATAGCACAAGCTGAGCCCAAAGAAGCCGACGGGGCGAAGGTAGGGCTGCTTGCCGTTCTTGCGGCGCGCGAGGGTACTGCGCGAGAAGAGCGAATCGAGCAGATCCTGGCCGAAACTGCAGCACAGTCGGTCGGCGATCTCGAGCACGTTGAAGATGACCGAGAGCTTGACGACGTCCTGTCCGCGGACCGAGTGATACATCTTGCTAGCGTCGGTGATGCGCGAGAGGATGACGCAGCTCGATACGATGAGCAGCATCTTGAGCAGATCGCACTTGTGCGACGAATGCAGGTAGCGCTTCTGGCCGCCGAGCATCCAGCGCGTGGTGTTGGTGAGCCAGGTCCACAGAGCCACACCGAAGCGCAGCGGCAGGATGGTAAAGGTGTACAGGAACGAATCGAGACAGACGACGAATCCAAACATGATGATCTTCTCCATCCAGAAGGGGATGGAGATGAAGTTGGTGACGCGTTCCCACTTCATCTCCTGCGTGGCATCAAAGTCGGTGGCGAGCACCTCCTCCTTGAGGTAGTCCCACAGACTGAAGGGGGTGTTGTCGGCGCGAGCCGTGTGTGCGTCGCCGTTGGCCTGAGGCTGTGATTCCTTCTTCAACTCTGGTTCCTTCTCTGTTGCAAGAGGCGAGGCTGTCATTCTGGGCTCTTCTTGAAGCTGAGCCAAGCTGAGTCTGGGCGTCATGTATGCGTCTGGAAGATCGTGCTGCGCTTTCCGATATCAAGGGCGAGGGCGCGAGGCCTAGATGCGTGGGCCTGATGTGCGGCGAAAGCATGCCGTTTGGGTTGCCTGGCGAGGGCGTATGTGGCTCGGGCTTGACGTGCGTCGAGGTCGATCTGGGCGAAAGAGCGGGACGCTCAAAACATCCGCTCTCACGTTTGATAGGCGAGGCCGGAAGCTGACCGTTTGTCTGCATTGGATCGGCGAGGGAGAAGCGTGGCGTCTGGATCGCTCTCGAGTCGATGAAGGTGTCTTCTTCGCCTTCCGAGGACGACCTAAGATCGGCTTCGCCCTTGGCTGTATCTGACTGCGGGTCGCCATTTGCAGCGAGCTCTCCACCGGAGGGAGGTTCGGAGGTGTAGCGGATGGAGTGTGCGCGTCCGCCGGCATCGGCCGTGTCGACAGACTCTGCGGTGTGAGGCTGGTAGTAGGAGTTCTCGCGATCTGTTCTAGACGTCTCAAAGATGGATCCTGGAGGACTAGCTGACGTCTCGAATATGGAGCCGGGCGGGCTGACTGAGGTGGCATGTTCGGTGCGGGATACGCTGCCGAGATCGTCTGACGAGGGTGAGGAGGCAAACGACGACAGCCCCGAGAGCAAAAGTGCACGCCGGCTCTGACGGTACTGCTGAGTAGCCTGACGGTAGGAGCGCCTTGCGTGGCTCAGCTCCTGAGCGTCTTGATCGTCGGAGGATTCTGAAGCCGAGTCTTCGTAGTCGGGACCTTCGTATACGATGTTTCCGTGTTGGTCCATAAGTATGCTGTCTTCCTCGTCCTCCCAGACGTCCTCGTCTTCGTCGAGCGTGTGCCGGCCGTTGTGCAGTGTTTCTGCGTCTGTTGCGGCATCTTTGTGCACCGGCGCAAGTTCTGGCGCTGGGGACAGTACGATGTCGGGCGTATGATCCGAGTACTTTGTGCGGACGGTGTCTTGGCTGGTGCGCGGCGCCGAGTCGTGGACCCTAGGAGATGTGGGAGCTGGTACGGTGCGTGCTGGCGACACGGGTGATGACGGCCGCGAGCCGTCAGAGTAGGAGCTCATGTGGTGGTGTTTGGAGCAAGCATGGATGCGGCGGTTCGCAAGGATGGAGGTGGGAGGGCAATGCAACGTGGAGGAACGAAAGTGTGGAGGCGGTTCGCGGAACTCGGAGGCGGAATTCGGAGACGGAACTCGGAGGTGTGGGGAGAGAGAGAGAGAGAGAGAGAGAGAGAGAGAGAGAGAGAGAGAGGAGGCGTTGTTATCTTCTTGCCACGCCTTCCTCCCACCC